CACCATAATGTGGGGGGCCTGAGATGAAATTTACTGGGTTTTCCCCTTGAAGAAGTAGCCCTTGATATAACATTGGAAACTGGACACTTTGCAATTTTGGCCCTGGAATCAATTTCGATTTGACACTTAGCTTCTGTGGGCCTAGATTTAAATCCACAGATTTCACATTTGGGGGCTGTGTTCCCTCAATCCGTTCCTTCGGTGATAAACTTTGTAGACGTGACTTTGGTTTTGTCTTTTCAGGATCTACCTCTGCTGCAGATGACGGTTGTATTACATTTATAGAGTTCTCATTTCGCAACTGTGATTCTCTATCCATTTGCCTAGACTTTACTTTGTGGAGCTGTGGCTTTGGGGTCACATCTTTAATATGTGCTTTGGGTCCTGCAGTTAGTCCTGTAGGTTCCACATCTTGTAAGGGTGGTTCGGTGATTACTTCTGCAGACTTCAAATTTTGGGCAAAGGACTCTGATTTCTCACCTTGCACTCCTGATTCTAGACTAAACTCCAGAGGTCTCACTATGATGGTTCCCTGGGTATCATCGACTTTAGAGAATGTCAATCTGAAGGTCTCTGTGTCTTCATATTCTGGTTTCAGAGTTATTTCCGATGGGTTGGTAACTTCTGCACACGCTTCTGGAGGCACCTGAACAAACTTCACATCAGGGGGCTGTGGCTCTGGGGCCATCACTCCTGAGGTCATAGTTTGCACTTCTGAATCTAGTAGCAAATCCAGAGTATCTTTAATTGCACTTCCTGATTCTGGAGTCTCTTCCATCTCTTTTACAACTTGGGTCCCAGGTTCAAGAGTATCTTGGAGTGGTGGTGAGCTCATCTCCACAGATTCTGAGCTCTGGCTCAATGGTGCTGGAGTCATCCCTAATGATGATTGTGGCAACGGAGCAGATTCTTCCACCTGCTGGCAAGGTTCAGAGGTCACTCTTGCTTCTGAGGCTGGATGCTGTAGGGTCAGTCCTTCAGGTTCTAGGAAATGATAACTTGGTTTGGGGGTCGCTTCTAAAGATTTTGTTGCATCAAAGTGTGTGCTTGGGATCAGTTCACCAACTTCCATACTCTCCACCAGTGCCTCAGGAATTAGATTCCTACCTTCTACCAATGGAGTCTTTGTATCCTCAAGCAATGGTACAGGGGCTATCTTATCAGAGCCGGTGCTTGGAGTCAACTCCACCATTTTTATATCTCCTTGTAACTCCTGTGATAGGGCTGAAAGAGCTTCTTCCATTCCTTGAGATTGAGAATCGGGGATCCAATGTACTGATATATTGCTGTGCAACTGTGGACCTGCCGCCAACCCAGCAGACTTTTTGTTTTGGTGTTGTGGTTCAACTGTCAGTTGGCCAGATTTCACATCTTGAAACTGAGACTCAGGGGCCGATGGCACAGATGTCTCACTTTGCAGTTGTGGTATGGGGGTTAATTCCTCATATTGTGTATTCTGCTGATGCAGTTCTGGGGCCAAATCTATACATACCACTGTTGAGGTTGGTGGTCCATATTTTTCCATTTCTGGGACTAAATCTGTGGTTATGTCCACAGATTTCACACTTTGCAATCTTGGATCTGGGATTAGGTGCTCAGATTTTACATTCTGTAGTTCTGGGGGAAAGTCCATTGAATCCCTAACCTTAGGCTGTGGGATTGTGCTCCCCCCCCCCAAATATTCCATTTCCTGAAGCAGTGGTATGACTGGCACTACTTCAGCTTCTGGAACTTGATGCTTTTGGCCCCTTCCTATAGGTACTGCACCTTGATCTGGTGGTGCTGGGATTGTTTTCCTGGATTCCATTATTTGATGATGTGACTTTGGAGTCAGTGACACACACTCTGTGCCTTGAGGTTGTGGCATAGTCCCCACGGAGTCTTCAACTTGACCCTGTAACCCAGAAGTCAATTGCAGAGACTCTTTGGTTGGAGGCTCTACAATTTGTAGTGGTGTGATCATTCCCGTCGGAGATGCCTGGACTGGCGGGGTCACCTTTAGAGCATGCAGGGACTGACATGACGGTAGTAGGTCATCAGTCATTCCTGATGGTTCCAGTACTTTAGATGGTGGCTGTGGAGGTACGCTTCTAGATTCTACAGTTCCTGCTGGGACAGTAGTAGTCGGAACATCTGGTTGAGCTGACACTGGGGTCAAATTTTCAGCTGGAGGCTGTGAGCCTCGGATCAAAGCCCTAAATTTAGTAATGTGTGGCTGTCCTAGTGGAAATATCTGCATGAAATCCATGGCTTGTTTTGCCACTGGAGACACTTTTGTATCTTCAGTGGCTTCAGGCAGTGCACTTGAGCTAATTTCCATTGCATTTTGATGTACTGGACTGGGAGTAATCCTGATGTGTTTTGAGGCTTGATTCTGTGACCCCAAGGTCATGGTCATGGTATCCATCTTCACTGATTCCATGACTTGGTATTGTGGCTGTGGGGCTACTCCTACTGGTTCTATGCCATGTGGACTTAATTTGTCAATCATCTCCATGGAATCCGTGACGTGAAACAATGCCACAGGAGTTACCTCCAGGTTATCTGTGACTTGACTCAGTCTTGAGGCCATGCTCTTTAATTCCGTGGTTTGATGCTGATGATGGGTTCCTTTTATTCTTTCAGTTACTTGATTTGATGGCTGAGGAGTTATCCTCACTATTTCTGCTTGATTTGGCGGCTCTGGGGAAAACCCCACAGAGTCTATCAGCTCCGACTGTGATTCTGGGATTAATCCCATTAAGTCCATAACCTGAAGCAATTCCAATGGAGTGACCTTTATTCTGTCAGTGGCTGAACGTGGTATCTTGGGTGTCACCCCAATGTTCATGCTGTAGTCAGTAGAAGGCTTTCCCTTTTTACAGTAACAGCTGGGTGGGACAATCTCCTGAACCACAGTGTCAGAGTCGGAGGAAGAAGTCACATCTCGGGATTCTGAAACATTCAGCTCCATAAGTGTTGATCTGAGAAACAAAGAGAAATGTTTTCATTTTCTTTGGAATCAGTAGGGGAAGTTAGAGAGAAGGGAGGGAGTGTCTAGTTCAAATCCAAAATATTTTTAGTCTAAGGGAGAGAAGAAGGAAAAGAGGGGTTGCATCCACAAACATCAATGATTTATGTCAAGAATTCCTCCACCAAGAGCAAAGTAGACGAGTCCATCAGTAGAGTGCATGCTATACAAATAGAGAAGCTGAGTTCCATCCCTAGAACCCACAGGAAAATAAAAGAACACAGTGCCCCAGTGCTGGGCAAGCAGAGACAAGTAGATGCCCTGGGCCTCACTGGACAGCCAAGGCTGATCAGTGAGTCCCAGGGAGTGACTCTATCTCACAAAACAAGGTGGATGGCTCCCAGAAATGACACCCAAGTTTTACACACACACACACACACACACACACACACACACACACACACACACACACACACACACCTGTGCTTGGCATGACCTGAGTTTGAGCCCTAAGACTCACATGTTGGAAGGAGAGAATTGACTCCTGTGGCTTGTCCTCTGACCATCACATACATGATGTGGCACCTATGTGCACACATGCAAAAAATACAAATGAATAAAATATATACATATATTTATACAGTGAGGCCTAGAGAAAAAGTCCAGAGGTTAAGAATAGTGACTTAGTGACTGCTGTTCCAGGGGACCCAAGTTTGAATCCCAACACACACATGGTAGGCCACAAACATCTGTATCTCCAGTACCAGGGGATCATATACCCTCTTGTGATCTCTCTGGGCACCAGGCATGCATGTGGTACACATACTTACCTGCGGGGAAAATATCCATACAGATAAAACATAAAACAAATAAAGCTCACAAAATAGTTCTCCACTGCTTTTCAAACTAACTTTTTTCCTTTACCTCCTTCCTTTACTTTCTTTCCTTCCTTCTCTTCTTCTTCTTCTTCTTCTTCTTCTTCTTCTTCTTCTTCTTCTTCTTCTTCTTCCCCCCCTCCCCCCCGCCCCCACTCAGCCCCCTGCCTTGTGACTCTGTTTCCTGACCTTGCATTATCCAGATGTTGGAGGATCCGTCCAAGACTCCTGTCTATTGACCAGAGTACATATTCCTGGGTCCAGTCGGTAGGAAGTCCTGAAATACTGGACACAGCAGAGTATGTCAGTGGAACTGAAGTGACATTGCAGTAGGAATAGAAAGATAATTTAGGAAGGAGGCAATTGCTCTCAGAGTAAATGAAGTCAGAGTGCCAGGTATTTTACGTACAGCATTCACAATGAAGATGGTGTCACGGGTAGGAATTCTATTGCTGTCATGAACCCCAATGAACATAAACAAGTTGTGGGGACAGGGTTTGTTTCAGCTTACAACACTCAGGTCATACTCCATTGCTGAGGGAAGTCAGGGTAGGAACTCAGGGCAAGATGGATCCAAGAGGCAGGAGCTGATCCAGAGGCCATGGAGCTGCTTACTGGCTTGCTTTCATGGTTTGCTCACCCTGCCTTCTTGTACCCCCTGAGACCACTAGCTCATGCGTGGTACCACTCACAGTGAGCTGGACCTTCCAACATCAATCTTCAATTAACAGAATGCAGCCAGGCATGGTGGCACATGTCTTTAATCCCAGCACTTGGGAGGTAGAGACAGGTGAGTTCAAGGCCAGCCTGGTCTACAGAGCGAGTTCCAGGACAGCCAGGGTTATACATTGAAAAAAAAAAAGAAAGAAAGAAAGAAAGAAAAGAATGAAAATATACTATGGTGATATTTTATTTGTATTAAAATGTTATTTGTATGTTAATAAATAAAGTTGCCCGGGAGTCAGAGCTATTAGCAAGCCATTGGAAAGCCAGACAGTGGTGGTGTACGCTTGTAATCCCAGCACTTGGTAGGCAGAGCTAGGTAAGTCTCTTTGTGTTCAGGGATACAGCCAGCATTGGATACACATGCCTTTAATCTCAATACCAACCATAGAAGACCTGGAGGTCTATACAGACAGGCAGTGACGAGGCGGTCATGTGGTTGGGTTTACAACCAATGAGAAGGCAGAGCATAAAGTCTATATAAAGACTTTAACACAGGAAGTAGCTCTCTTTTGGAGAGGTAGGACCACCACAGGAGGACGGGTAAGGTTTTTGCTCTTAGCTCTGACTTCTTGGCTTTCTTCTTTGCATTGGTTCTGTGTTTCTTATTTAATAAGATGGTTGGTTACATCTACAGTGTACCACAGGCTTGCCCACAGGGCAATCTGGGGGGGCAATTAAGGTTCCCTCTTCCAAAATGATGGCAGCTTGTATCAAGTTGACAGGAAACTAGTCAGCATGGGTATTTGTCACAGGACAGTCTGTAGACAGACTCTGCTTACCGTGTCAGATCAGCTACACTGCCATTCATCTCTGTTTCTTCCAACCGTGAAACTGTAACAGGAGCCAAGAAACTGTTAGCATAGTGACTGCTGACGTCATCTAACAGAACCCCCTTCATTTAACAATTAAGGGAGCAAAGATGAAGTCACACCCATCGTGACGCTGATGAGTGGTACAGCACAGCTATCGAGTTTTGTTTTGCTTTTTAAGCATACTATCCTGTCTTCGTCATGTACTAGAAGTGACCCAGGAGAAGCCCGGACTGGGAACGCAGCGCTGGGGGAACACAGAGATCCCGATACATCTTCCCCTTCAAAGATATCTGTCCCACATCCACATCTGTGGTAGAGGAATAAAGGTAATGGACTTCCTGCACCAAACTCTTGGTAGTTCATCTTTGTCCATTCTCCTCTCCCATACTTTGGGCTCTACATGAAGATGTAGGGACAGAGAAGCCCGAGGAAAGGAAACAATGGAGGATGGAGCTGTCTGACTGACTTTGGAAGGAAAGATGTCAGAGAGATGGGCGTACTCTCCAGGCACACCCTCTTTTTCAACTTTCTTCCACTTCAAGTGGAAAGAGTCCTAAAGCAGGTCCACAGTTGATCCGTCATCAGCCTTGAGCTGACCCATAAGGATAGAATCATTCTTACCTCTGAGTTTCCAGATCTGTTTTAGAGATCTGTTTTGTTGCTTGGAAGTCTAGAAAGACACAAAGAGAAACTAAGTCAGGGTTACGTTTTAGTTTGGGGATTTTATTGACAACACATCTCATCTTATCTAGGGGATAGTGATATGTTTTATCAGTTGTCATCTGCAAACATATCATTAGTTATCATCTCATTTATTTAGTTGTGAATAATGGATTACATATCCTAAGGGACCAGCAAGATGACTCTGTGGGCACAGGTGTTTGACACCAATCCCGATGACATGAGTCCCATCTCTGGAGCCCACATAGTAAAAGGAGAAAAGCAATTTGCACAAGTTGTGCTCACCTCCACGTGCATGCCATTTGTCCATGCGTGCACCCACATGCAAATTAGTAAGTGATTAAACAAACCTAAGTCCTAGATTATTATGTGTAGTCCTGAGAGTCTACAGGTAAATATGAGTCCTGTGCTCTAGAGACTTGCATTAGTAAGGAAAACAGTCAACTAAACAGGTAAGATGCCATGTGGGAGCCAGCAAAATGGCTCATTGGCTGAAGGCACCTGTTGCCAAGCGTTGGCAACCTATGTTCAATCCCTGTGGCCAGTATGGTAGATGAAAAGAACTGTCTTGTTTAAAATAACCCTGGACTTGAATTATAACCTGTATTTATGTTCAAGCTCTCTCTGTATTATTTCTCCTGCAGTTGTACATAAAATGTCTTTACATTAAAGCCAGGCGGCGCACACCTTTAATCCCAGCACTCGTGAGGCAGAGCCAGGTGGATCTCTGTGAGTTCGAGGCCTGCCTAGACTACCAAGTGAGTTCCAGGAAAGGCGCAAAGCTACACAGAGAAACCCTGTCTCGAAAAACCAAAAAAAAAAAAAAAAAAAAAAAAAAAAAAAAAAAAATCTTTACATTAAAAAAAGGACAAATACTACAGAATTGTATTACATCAGATATGTAGAATATACAAATTCATAGAGACAGAAAGATTAGATGTTATCTCAAGATGGAGAAGAAAGGAATATAGAGCAATGATTTCCTAAGTACAGAATCTCTGTTTTATGTGATGGAAAAGTCCCACAAATGGACAGTAGTGTCAGGACATAATATCATGAATGTAATAAATCAATACAATTAATGTAATTAATGAATATCATAAATGCAGTTATTGAATGAATACTGCAAATGTAATCAATGAATACCACAAATGTAATTAATATCATGAGTGTAATTAATGAATACCATGAATGTAAATAATAAGTAAATAAGTAAATAAATGAAAAGAAAGGTCTGCTAATTGCCAAAAGTAACCACAAACAGAAGTGTAAGGGAGCAATTTACTGGACCAAAAATTAAGACATACCATAAAACAAGTTCATAAGAACAGGAGCAGGCAGGTAGAATTTAAAAACAAAAAAGTTCTGAAATAATCAGGAGGCAGAGGCTGAAGAATTTCTCTGTGTTTGAGGACAGCCTCAGCTAAATAGTGAGTTCCAAGACAGCCAGGGTTATATAGAGAAACCTGTCTCGAAACAAACAAACAAAAAACCCTAAACCCAGCTCTGAAATAAATTCACTTACATATGGCAGCTTAATTGAAGAGAGCTCCACATAGTGACAAGAAATGATTCCATAGCTGTGATAAGTGCTGTCAACTTGCGAAAATCTAGAATCATGTGGACCTGTGCCTCTTAGCATGCCCATGGGGAACCGTCTTGATAACCATACCTGGGGCGCCACTGTGGTGGCGCCATTCTCTGACTGGGATCCTAGACTGTGTCAGTGGGGAAAGAGAAGTGAGCTACAGTTTGGACTCATCACTCATCTCCGCTTCTTTACTGCAGATGCAACGTGACTCGCTAGCCTAAGCCCCTGCAGTTGTGACCTCCTCTACCACGATGGACCAATGGACCATAACCTTGGGTGATGGTGAGCTGAAGTGAACCCTTGCCCCGTTAAGGCTCTTTTGTTAGGGCATTCTGTCACAGCGACAGAATAGAAACTAAGACAGTGGCAAACAGTGAGAAAAATAAAAGTGGATCATTTCTCAATATGGGATTCAGAGATGGGCTCTAAGTGGGTTGAGAATTCAAATGTTGAGGGGCTGGAGAGACGGTTCAACCGCTTAGAGCAGGGGCTACACTTACAGAGGACCCAGGTTTGGTTCCCAGCACCCACATGGTGGCTTATAACTTCAACTCCAGTTTCAGAGGATCTGATCTCTTATGACCCCTGGAAGTACCAGGCAACATGTGGTGCACATGTACACTTTCTTGCAGGCAAAATCATCATATACATAAAATACAAAAAAAAAAAATCTCAATTTGTATGAAAGAATTCATGTGTGAAAAGTAATGTGAATTTTTTGTTGTTGTTTTTCATTTTTCAAGATAGGAGGGTTTCTCTGTGTAAATCTGACTCCCCTGGAACAACTCTGTAGATCAGGATGGCCTCAAACTCAGAGATCTGCCTGCCTCTGCTTCCTGAGTGCTGGGATTAAAGGCGCGCACCACCTCCTCACCTGGCTAGTAATGTGAATTTTAAAGTATTCAAATGTGAAAGACTAGAACAAAGAAAATAAATCGATTAAAAAATTCTGGGGTTGGGGATTTAGCTCAGTGGTAAAGCGCTTGACTAGCAAGCGCAAGGCCCTGGGTTTGGTCCTCACCTCTGGGAAAAAAAAATTCCTACCACCTTGGACAATGAACTAATTAAAAAAACTTTTTAAAAACTCTAATAGCTAAAATAGATCTTAACTTTCTCATCATACACATGAAAAAAGTCTGAAGTGAAAAATGTATTAACTAGCTTGATTTAATTATTATACAATGCAAAAAGCAAAACATATTATGCTTCATAAAGATGTATTTGTTAATAACATTATTTATTTTTATGTATATGAATGTTTACTTGTATGAAAGTGAACCACATGTATGCCTGGTGCCCCTCTGAGTCCATAAGATGGTGTCAGATCCCCTGGAACTAGAGTTACAACAGATGGTTGTGGCATACCGTGTGGATTCTGGGAATCAAACCTGGGTCCTCTGCAAGAGCAGCAAGTGCTCTTAACCACTAAACAATCTCGCCAATTAGTATCATTTTAATCCAGCAGAAGACGCCCCCCCATGCTCATTTACAAGTTCTAAGTGACAGATTTACCACTTATTCCTAGGCCCTGGAGCCTGCCAGCAAACTTGGCTTCACACTGAAAAGTACAAGGCCTGAAGGGGAGTCCCCAGAAACCTTTAGCCACAGGCTGCTTGTGTGGTTCCCAGTCTCTATTAGTTACTCCTAATGCTGTCCCAAAAGCAGGCTGAGGAAGGAACGGTTTAACTTGGCTCACAGTCTGAGGGTGCAGAGCATCATGGTGGAGAAGGCAGGTGTTAGCTGGTCACATTCCAGTCACAGTCAGAGAGAGATGACTGGTGGTATTCACTCGGCTCACTTCCTCAATTTCATTCGAGACCACAGCCCATGGAGCCATGCTGCCCACATTTTGACTGGGTCTTCCCACCTTAGTTAACACAGTCTCTAAACTCCCTCACAGGCATGCCTGCAAGTTTGTCTCGTAGAAGACTGGAGATAGCATCGTGTTCACATGATCTGAGTGGTCCTCCAAACACCCTCAAACCATGAATTTTAAAGTGTTTCTGAATTGATGGTGCCATCATTAAAGGCAGATGAAATGCTTTGAGTGAATTCCTAGACTTCCAAATCCACTGTAAAGCCAGGTTGTGGTGGCTCATGCCTGTAAACTCTCCACTCTGGAGGCTGACATAAAAGAATTACCATGAGCCAGGCGGTGGTGGCGCATGCCTTTAATCCCAGCCCTGGGGAGTCAGAACCAGGTGGATCTCTGTGAGTTCAAGGCCAGCCTGGTCTACCAAGTGAGTCCCAGGAAAGGCGCAAAGCTACACACAGAAACCCTGTCTCGAAAAACCAAAAAAAAAAAAAAAAAAAAAAAGAATTACCATGAGTTTGAGGCCATATTAGGATGTCTAGTAAGTTCCCAGCTATCCTGGGCTACAGAATGAAACCCCATTCTCAAACAGAACATCTGAACTTGGGTGGCAAATGCCTTTAATCCCAGTGATGTATATGAAATGTCTATGAAAAAAAAATCTCTCCTATTCAATTGAAATTTCCGTGTAATGAAGGATCTGAAGAAGGTACCTATGGTGCAGCAGGGAGAGATAGAATCGAGCCAAGAAACACAGGAGCTACCGTAGAAGAGCCCCAGAAGGCGAGGGCAGAAAGAATGTAGCAAGACATTACTTGAGGATTAACAACACTGAAGAATATAGAAACCCCGGACTCTCAGCTCCATTTTCCAAGAGTCTAAAAACTGCTTTTTTTTAAATGTATGTTTGTGTGTGCATATGCATGTGCACGTGTGTCCACAGTTGTGCAGGGGTGTGCCTGCTTATGTGGCATGTGCACGTGGAGGCCAGAGGTCAGCCTCAGGCGTCATTCCTCAGGTGCCATCCACCTTGATTTTTGAGACAAGGTCTCTCATTGGCCTGGAGCTTGTCAAGATCTGAACTGTCTGGACAGGGAGCCCCAAGGATACGCCTGTCTCTACTCCCAGCCCAGTGCTGGTATTACAAGTGTGTGCCACTGAGCACATATCTCTTACACAATTCTAGGGATGAAAGTCAGGTCCTCACGCTTATAAAGCAAGTACTTTACTGACTGACAGATCTCCTCATCCCTAAAAACTGCTTCGAAGCAGTCTGATCTTTGACTTAATAACTAGAAACTCGTGAGAACTGAGAAGCATTGATATGTAAGTGTTAGGACAGCAGAAGCCGAAGAACAGCTGAATTAAGTAGATTCAAAAATGCTGAAAACGGAAGAGGAAGAATCTTAATACTTGGCCCCGAATAAAAGAGTAGGCATATCTGCATGAGCAGTAAGGGGAAGAGCTGCCATGTTCTTAGAAATATAGGGCATGAGAAAACAACAGAATAAATTCCTTTTTTTTTTAAGATTTATTAATTATGTACACAGAAGAGGGTGCCAGATCTCATTACAGATGGTTGTGAGCCACCATGTGGATGCTGGGAATTGAACTCAGGACCTCTGGAAGAGCAGTTGGTGCTCTTAACCTCTGAGCCATCTCTCCAGCCCAGGATAAATTCTTGAATGTGCTATAAGAAAGCAAGTGCCTACCTAGACTTGTACTTATTGGAACTACTCAAAAATGTAAGATAGAGTACAGAAATTTGTTAATAAACATAAACATAGTACACGTAGTGGGCTGGCCAGAACTTACAGAATGATGATGAGTCTGAGTGTTTGGAATTTATCCAAAGAATGTGTGGAGGTTTAATGTGACAGAGACACGTGCCCATCAGCGTTTCCTGCAGCACTATACATAATAACTGAGTTATGGAACCAACCTATGTGTGCAACAATGGAGGAATGGATGTTAAATGTGTGTGTGTATACACAATGGACTTTTTCTGTCACCAAGAACAAGGTTACATAGTTTTCTCAGGAAAAGGGATGCTTTATAGGAACTCCTATAAAGCAGCTAAGCCAGCCTCAGAAAGACAACATCAAATGATTCTTCTCCTTTGTGGTTCCTAATTTCATAGAGTACATAACCTCACAGATGTAAACATGCCATGAAAGTAGAAATGACTGGAAGAGTTAAGGACACTGTGGGGAGACAGTGAAGGAGAGTGGGGAGGGAGGGGACTGTGCACAGTGTAACAGTACTAGATACAGTAGATACACACAGTGAAATGATGTTTAAATAATGCAGGACTATTTTGACATAGCACAGTGGTCAATACACTACACCATACTAATAACACAAAGTGGGGGTTGCCATGGTCATAGCAATGGTGCAGAAAAACCAAACATGTACTCATGTGGTTTATTTGTTTTTTTTTAAGACACTCAACAAAATAGAAATACCTGGGAACTCCCCCCAACATACATTGGGTCCAGTGTTATCCCCCAAATTGATATGTTGAAATCCTAACCCGCAAAGTAATGGTATTAGTAGATGGGGTGTTTGGGAGGTGGCTATGTCATGAGATGGAAAAACTACAAAACACTGTTGTAGAGAGTAAATAGTAAATAAGACATCCTTTGTTCATGATCAGAAGGTTTGATGGTAAAATGACATTACCAACATAATGTATAGATTCTTTAGGGATGCTGTGTAATCCCTACCCAAACCCCAGTGACCTTTTTTGCATAAATGAAAACCCTGTCCTAAAAATCCCTATGGAATTACAGAAATCCCTCAGGAGTCAAAACAACCTTGAAAAAGAACAGTCAGGGCTGGAGGGATGGCTCAGCGGTTAAGAGCACTGGCTGCTCTTAGAGAGGTCCTGAGTTCTCAGCAACCACATGGTGGCTTATAACCATTTGTAATGAGATCTGGTTCCCTCTTTTGGCAGGCAGGTATACATGCAGACAGAACATTGTATGCATAATAAATAAATAAATAAATAAATGAATGAATGAATGAATAAATAAATAAATAAATAAATAAATAAACAAACAAATAAATAGCTAAAAAATAAGAACAGTCAGAGGACCCGTACTTTCTGATTTTAAAACTTTATACAGGGCTGGAGAGACGGCTCAGCGGTTAAGAGCACTGGCTGCTCTTCCAGAGGTCCTGAGTTCAATTCCCAGCTCACAATCTAGAATAGGATCTGGTGCCCTCTTCTGGCATGCAGGTATACATGCAGACAGCACTCATACATTAAATATAAATAATTTCTTTAAAAAAAAAAACTTTGTACAGAACCGGGTAGTGGTGGTACACACCTTTAATCCCAGCATCGGGAGGCAGAGACAGGTGAGATCTCTGTGAGTTTGAGATCATCCTGGTCTACAGAGTGAGTTCCAGGACAGCCAGAGCTACACAGAGAAACCCTGTTTTGAAAAACCAAAAAGAAAAAGAA